TAATGGTGAAGTGTCCGCGACGCGACGAAAGCAAACGCGTAACAAGGAGCGGACGCGTGCGAGTGCCGGTACCTGGTAGCGCAGGTGCGGCAGCGAGGGCAGCACGGCCGCGCCCCACAGCTCGCCGCCCACCGCTCCCACGCCCGCCACCTGCACCCCACCACTTGTACCACGGCCGCGGGCCGCGACTGTACCACAACCCCTCCCGATCGACGACACTAACTAATAAACTATCCCTGCTCAGACGCGGATGCAATCAAAGCGTTTGCTTTTTAACCCCCGACACAAACAGAGATATAACACATATTTAACATATGTATCGTTCCGTCTGTGGCATCGTAGCTCGCAAACGGATGAACCCGTTAAGACTTAGTTTCTTTTGTTTGAAAGGTGACTTGATCGAGAGTGTTCTTGTCTATGATTCAAGAAAATCTTTTCAGCCCTAAATAATCAGCTTTTTTATGGTTTTTTTTTTAATTTTTAAACTAAATTATTAATAATATTAATGAATTCATGGATGGCAACCCTTGAGAATTAGGCGGTCGCTACCACGCTATTTCTTATTTGTTTTAGGTTGTAAATTATTGTAAATATTTATATTATTGTATATCTGTTTTGCTGGTTCTTCCCAGGACAGAGGTATTTGGAATAAGCTGATTCCCACTCCTGTTTCAGTTTTCGTCTGTCCCGTCTTATGACATCCAGGGATGACACATTATGGGTTATATAGTTTAAATAGTCAAATAATAAGATTGATTTCTATTAATAATAATGTTAATATTCAATTTCAATACTTTAGGTGTTTTATCAATTTAAAAATATAACAGTTTCTCACATGCTTGCGAGTTATATTTGGGCATCATACATAATATTGAGCATTTTTTTAAAGAATATTAACAATGCCATAAACATTACTAACATTCCCCTTAACCACTCGTGGTAAGCTTAAATTGCTTGTGTTACGAGTGGTTCACGCCAGTAGTCGAATGGCGGATTCGAACCCACGACCTTTTTGAGTTCGCGGTCCGCGCCCTGCCATTATTTTTTTTAAAGATTAACTATTAAAATTGAAAGCCCTTCCCTTAAGACTGCATCCGCGCCTGTTACCTATGTCTAATTCAGTGTTATGATTCTTTTATTGATAAAATACCGATATTAGCCTAAATAATAACTAACTTTCCCGTAAAAGTACAGTCGCGGCACATACAGACCTCATCGGAATATATGGGAACCACTAGTTTTAACTATACACGTCTTAACAGTGTAAAATGAACCATACAGTGCTGCAAAGAGAGTTGAAAATCCCCTGCATAAATTCCTTATCTTACACATAAGTCAAAACACACTTTACATAAGTAAACGTTCATATGCTATGCCCAGATTGACAAAACATAATCAATCTCCAGAACGTAATTTTTACTAAAGTATTATTTCTAGTAAAGATTAACAACATTTCCTTTTGAAACTAAACTCAATGGTGACCTTCTGCATTTAGATAAATATAAATCAATATCAAATGAAGTTTAGAATTGTTATTCCTTACATAGAATAAAGAACCTTGTTCATAATTCTAGTTCTTAACTAATTTGACAATATATTTATCCTAGATGAAAGTGTTTTTTATAATGAATAACCAACTTTGAATGTGTAGATACTGGCAATGAACGACACAATATATGTATGTTTATATAATGTATGTATATATAATATAGATCGATTGTGTAAATATATGTACGTATTATTATGTAAGTAATTAAACAATAGAAACATGTGTAAATTTGTGTACCTAAGTGATTCTAAGTTATTAGTCAACCAAAATTTTATCAACGAAATTTGATATAACATTGTCTCTAATCATTTTGGAAAAATCAAGACGTTAAGTACATAATGCAAGAATTTTTTCTAAACATTTGATTAATAGTATCAAAGATCTATATTTTAGTTGTATCGAAGAAATCAGTGCAATCTAAACCATTTTTGCCGTATCTGTATATATTTGTAGCACTTCAATATGTATGTAAATAATATTATAGTTAAAAAGAAAACAGAATATAATATTATAGTTGGTATTTCCCTGTCGACATTATAAAACTCTGGTTGTATTTAAAAATGTTACATAATCACAGTTGAACTTGATTATTCCATAGTTTGAGATCTAGATATTAAATAGTTCTCGAAATTTCTAGTGCCATACTTGAAATTTCACTTTATCTGTTGAACAAACTAGAAAACTAAAATCGTAATTATAAGACTTAATTAACGTTGAGCGTAAAGATGAGAACCGGGAAAAAGTACAACAAGGCTACTTGCCGTTATAAATGAAGCATCAAAAGATAATCATATTATATATTTATTACAATCAATAACTATATTAAAATGGATTTATCTATTATTTTTTCGACCACTAATACTATCTTTATCATTGACCTTTAATAATAAAACAATATGTGATCATCAACATCATCATTACAGCCCTTCACAAGTCCCTGCCGAACATAGGCTTTCCCCATGAAACGCCACAAATGATGATCCTTATCATCCCAGTCCTAAACCATGTGCATCCATCGACCTCATCGTTGATCTAGTAGTTGTAAACTTAACTGCTAATGATGTAGTCCCAAGTTCGGATCCAACGATTGAGCATTTTCTGTCTAAAAATACTCATTAGCAGCCGAAGTTAGCCAGTTAGCAGTGTTTCACTGATGTGCCTCTGAAAGTACTCAAAGCCATTCTCTCTCTAGTCGTAATGGATTGCTGTACCATAGTATTGTGAGAGAAAGAAAATGAGTAGCAGTCTAAGCAGCTAAATGCAAACTAGTGTTCTATACCAATCATGTGGTCATGCATGATTTTATATGTGGTAGAGCCACGCTACAGATATGTTATGGTTGTAGTACGAACGGGTTGGTTTGACCGGGGCAGGATGGCTTTCTAAGAGAGTATCAGCGTGAAACAGTAGCATAAATACTGTTGTGTTTCGTATAGTGAGTGTATAGAACCGTACACCCATGTACTACAAACGAGGCATTGCATCTTAGTCCTCAAGGGTGACAACACATCTGCATTTTGATTCTGAATCCAGGATAAATGTAGTAGTTCAGGTGGACTGCATGTTCGTCTAACACTCATATTTATATCATATAAATTATAACAAATAAGATAAATGGTACGTATAGTTATATTCATTTATAATATAAAATATGAACTCTATTTTTATATATTAGCAATAAAATATCAATATTATTCAATGGTCACACTAAACTTTTGCTTATATCCATTTTGAACTCGACTATGGCAAGTAGTGTTAAACTGCAATAAATTAATAATCCACTATGACTGGATCAAAAATTATTAGCGGGTTTAATTTAACAAATATCGTGATGTCGGTTGGTTTCTCAGTCATCTGTACGCTCAACGCAAACAATCGGAATGCACCGCGCGTGGCACGCGTGTACGTGTGTACCTGCGTGCGCTGCGCGTGCGCGTGGTCGCGGTGCGCGTGCGCGTGCGGCCAGCCCACGCCGCCGCCCAGCGCGCCCAGCCGCGCGCCGCGCAGCGACATCTAGCGGACAACACGCCACGTTACACGACTATGGGTACGTTTGGCAGAAAAAAGCGCTAGCAAGCGCTTGTAAGCAAAATGGCGATCGTAAGCGGTAAGCGCTGTCAAATCGTAAGTAGCTATTTTCCTCTAGGATTAGTTTTAACCGGGGAACCTAACCTAATTTAAATATATGTTTGCAAAGTATTCATATTAAAAACTTACCAATCATGAATTTTTAATAAAATGTATACGTTTTATTCATGTCATTATATTACTTGAAACTAATTGCACAAAACAACATAAACTCTACTTCAAAACAAACATATTAAATAAGCAAAATGGCGGATTGTGTCAGCGCTACTGAAGTTAGCAAACGTGTCCTGGCCGAAAACTGTTTAGTTTCGCCATTTTGCTTACAAGCGCTTGCTAGCGCTTTTTTCTGCCAAACGCACCCTATGCATTTACTAATGTTCAACACTCGCTGCCCACGGTGCAATAAAATGGGGAAACAGGACGCTGCCTACTGCACTCTCTGTCGCACTTACGGGCCTTTCGGCAGAAAAGCCAGAATAAAAAAAAAAAAAAAAACGGCTTTAAAAAATATGCAAAAAAAAAAAAAAATTAAATTTCATGAAAATTGTTGGAGCCGTTTCCGAGATTCCGTATATATATATATATATATATACACAAGAATTGCTCGTTTAAAGGTATTGGATTAAATTTCCCTTGAAACGTAATTATTAAACTACTCGCACTTATAAATGAACTATCTCGTACAAGTGCACACACTCCTTGCGAACCAATGATTTATAGCACCGCAGGTAGCGAGTTTTTAACATTAGTATAGTTACTAATTGATGAGATGATATTAGCTTCTTGACATCATTATTTATTTAAAATGATCTCCGGAACTGATATTATACAAAAAATTACAGATCTTTAATAGTCCCAAAATTAATAAAATATTGTTGGTTCTATTTTACGCGATAAAAACTTCAACAACATGGAGAAAGTGTAAGTAGATCTGCTACTACATGTAAAAATGTCTTTGGCAACTCTTATAAACGAATTATTGCAAATTCTTATATGAAACTTGTTTTTCGCAAACGACTTACGATTTGCATGAAAGTTTGTATTTATATAATGTTTTACTTTCAAATTTTATCAACATTAGTCGTGGCATACAGTCGTAAAAAAATTCTATCGAAAACCTAAACATAGTCTCGCTCAGGTTGACAATGCTACAATTTTAATACGAGCTAGATCAAAAACATCACTCAGATGCGCTCGCACTGTAACCTCAAAAAAAAGATATAATTGATATGTCGTTCTCCTGTTCTCTACTCATTACCAGGAAATTACTCATTAATTTCATTTTTAAAGATTGTCACGTTTCTCAATGCGAGAAGACTCCTCCACCACCGGAAACCTATCTCCATCCCTCCGCTGCTAACTACTACTTGGAGGTAGCGCGCGTGTCGCTCACCTGGTTGATGTCCAGCAGCAGCGGCGTGTGGTGCGCGTGGTGGGGATGGTGCGGGTGGTGGGGGTGATGGGGGTGGGGCACGTGCGGCACGTGGGGCGCGGCGTGCGACTCGTGCGCCCACACGCCGCCACCGCCGCTCATGTAACGAACGCGCCGTCTGCAACCAAACAAATTATATACTATACTTTTCAGTAGGACCGCCTCAGTCACTTTTACTACCTGGATAACGTAAAATATAAGACATATTAAAGTTAAATAGTTGTAAATTAAATAAAGACAAACTCTTTGTTGCCGACAGTTAGTTTAAAATGATATAGGTATTACTCGATATTCAACCTCTCAAAACCCTAACGGCCTCATGAGACCGCGCTCATTTTCCGTCGTATCCCTAGTGGTCTCATGAGGTCGCACCCACCGACAGTATTTTAACAAATAAAAACTTTTATATAGAGACTACTTTTCTATGAAGAAGTTTGGCATTTTATTATAATCAATATGAAATTTTTTATCCTCTAGTGCAATAAAAAGTTCCTATAGATATTGTTACGAGCTTGAGGTTCGTGACAATAAAAATTGCCGATAAAATTACCTAAATTAACACTTTAATTTACTTTACACAAATTAAAGTTAAAACACTAATAATTAAACACACTAATTCACTTAATTCCGCCCGAAACTTCGCTTGTTACGCCCAAATCAACACTGCCTCGATCGCATCTTGCAGCGCCTATATATTTGAATTAGCAAAGAAATATCCAGAATGTTCAAGTAAACACGCGGAAGGTACCGAGCGTTCGAGTTTCGACTAGGCGCTGTCAGTTGAGCGATTTGTGATGTCATTTTCTCAATGCTCCCCTCGCTCTCGTTCCTGACACTAGATGGCGCTAGTTGACTTATTCATGCAACACTGCCCCCTCCTAAGACATGCTCGTCCCGAGCATTATCGGTCCCATAATAACGCGCCAAGCGATCCACATGGACGATCTTAGGAGTCCCTCTTGCGCCTTTCTGTAACGGCTCCGCAATATCAAGGGCTGTCCTATCCCGTGGTGCACCAACATTGTACAATTTTGGTGCTCCTCTACTACGTGTCCGAGGTCCCCCGCACGGCCGCACAACTTGTACATGTACGACACCAATCCTCGACATCGTCACGATAATGGACCCAGTAAAACTGTTCTCGGACCTTCAGTAGAGTTCGTTTAACTCCCAGATGGACTCTTGAACGACCATTATGGCACAACTGTAGAACATTCGGCACTTTAGCTTTAGGGACAACCATTTGCAAACGACAGCTGTCTCTTCGACCATTGTCCCATTTACGGCACGGGACTCCATCCTGAATCAGCAAGCTGTCCCATTGGGCCCAATAGCTTTTCGTGGTTGAACTCATCGCTGAGACGTCCCTCCACTTAGGCTTGGTAGCACGGGCCTTCATCCATCCCAGAATCGGCTTGATGTCCGGATCTTCCTGCTGTGCATGTCGTAGGTTGTCCTTCCATTCGTTGCTGAGGTGGTCCGTCCTGAGCATCCTCACGGATACCACCTCCTTACTCTCTTGCCTACTACAATGGTTGCAATCTTCAGGACAAGGTCTTCTTGACAATGCATCTGCGTTGCCGTGAGATTTCCCGCTGCAGTGTCTGATAGTAAAGTCGTATTCCTGCTGCTGCTGGGCGGTGCTGTTAGCCGCACTTCCTTTCTGAGACCGTTCACCTTCCCTTCCTAGGGTGTGCTTAGGGCAGCTGGACCGAAGATGGCCCCTTTCCCCACAGCCATAGCATCTAGGGCTGTATCTTTTATTGTGGTCGCGAACCGTAACTGCAGTAACCTCCCTAGCGTGAGGTGAACGATGATCCTGTCGCCGCCAGGCAGTGCCGTTAGCTGCACTACCCTCTCGAGATCGATCAACTCTCCTTTCCACGGTTCGTTTAGAGCAGCTGGATCGAAGATGGCCCTTTTCCCCACAGCCATAGCACCTAGGGCTGTATCCTTTGCTGCGGTCACGGACTGTAGCTGCTGCAACCTCCCTGACGCGATGGGAACGATGATCCTGCCGCACGGCTTCCACCTCCAGTGCATGGGCCAAGGCGTTCTTAAGCGTGACGTGGTGCCCGAGTCTCACAGCAGCTCTGACTTCAAGGTCGCGGATGCCGTCGATGAATGTCTGAACCAGGTTCCCTTCAATGAGCGCAGGTACAGACCGGTAAGCTTTTCGCACCAGCTTCTCCACCTCTAGAGCCCACTGCTGCAGGTTTTCGTTGATGCGCTGCACACGATCTTTAAGCTGCGCACGAAAGACGTGTTCCAGGTGAGCGTCGCCATATCTCGCCTCCAATGCCTCAAGGAGTTGCTCATAAGTCACTTCCTCACCGAGAGCTTCCAGAACTGTTAAGGCCTGGTCGCGCAGGCCTAGTGCAAGAGCAGTCTGACTTTTATTCCAGCCGTTCGCCTTCATAACAGCCTCGAACTGGATTTTGTAGGCTGACCAGGAAGAAGTCCCGTCGAATGGTGGCACCTTGAACCCACGTAGCGAAGGTGTAATAGCTACTACGGGAGCTGTAGTTCCATCCCCCAGTTTGAGGTCGTCCAGCGTTTTCTTCACGTCAGCCATCACGTAATCAACCCGATTGTTTACTTGGTCGATTTGGGTTTTAGCTTCCTTGATTTGGGTTTCAGCTTCCGACAGGCGGTTGTCATGTTGAGCAACCCTATCCTTCACCTCCCTAATCTCTTTCCCGAAGTTAGCGTGAATGTTCTTCACGAGGAGCATCTGCTCTTCCTGTCGGCGGGCCTGTTCCTCCTGCTGCTCTTTCAACCAACGGGCCTGTTCTCCCTGTCGGCGAGCCTGTTCCTCCTGTCGGCGAGCCGCTGTTCCTCCTGTCGGCGAGCCTGTTCCTCCTGTCGGCGAGCCTGTTCCTGCAGCATCACCATCAGAGCACCTAAATCGGGTGCTGCAGATGGAGGAGCTACTGACGGGCCTGCAGCCGGCGGCTGGCCCTCCGACGTCAGCGGCGTTGCACCACCAAATCTTCTTTGGTCCGTCTCCTGCTGGCGTTGATTTCGGGTACGGACACCCTCCGTTTCCTCCTTAGGTAAAATCGGCATGATTTTATCCCACTTCTGACACCAATTGTTACGAGCTTGAGGTTCGTGACAAGAAAAATTGCCGATAAAATTACCTAAATTAACACTTTAATTTACTTTACACAAATTAAAGTTAAAACACTAATAATTAAACACACTAATTCACTTAATTCCGCCCGAAACTTCGCTTGTTACGCCCAAATCAACACTGCCTCGATCGCATCTTGCAGCGCCTATATATTTGAATTAGCAAAGAAATATCCAGAATGTTCAAGTAAACACGCGGAAGGTACCGAGCGTTCGAGTTTCGACTAGGCGCTGTCAGTTGAGCGATTTGTGATGTCATTTTCTCAATGCTCCCCTCGCTCTCGTTCCTGACACTAGATGGCGCTAGTTGACTTATTCATGCAACAATATTTATTTATAATCTACGTTCATTTCTTACGCCATTTTCGTGTGAATGATATTGTGTTGATTTTTTGGATTTTAGTGTTTTATTAGTGTTTTAGTATAAAAGTGTTTTATTATAAAATTTTAATGAAATTTTTTGTGTGAATATAATTTATCTTTTTACGTAAATGCTTTCGAGTAATATATATATTGAAATAATTGTGATTTTCACGCTGCCGACATTCGCTTGGTATGTTTTATTTTTGTTATCAAAATACAATGAAATCTTTTTGTAATGAACTAAAACCTGACTTTTATATAGAGAATTTTGTATAGATTTTATAATACCAAACTTCTTCATAAACAAGTAATCTCTAAATATAAGTTTTAATGGTTTTAAGTGCTGTGGGTGGGTGCGGTCGCATGCGACCGCTCGGGATTTGCCGGGCGCATGCGACTGCATGGGATTTTTATTAGGCCTGAAGGGTTAATTATATATTCTTAAAACCCTACTATGTGAGAATACCAAACAGAAAAAATAGGTACTTACGGAGGTTGATAGGGCAGTCTGGGCGTCCGCCGTTCGACTACTGGGGTTGCCACTGAAACGTTGCTTTCACCTAAAATATAATAAATAATAATATAATATCATACTGTTAGCTACACTGCTCATTTTAGCAATATTGTGGTTACAGCAAGAATAGGCTGACTCAACTGGGAAAGGACAGCGCTCTCGCAGAATACCATCTTTAATTAACTGCATAATGTTGCTATGTATTGTATCGTAAGTGCATAAAGAATAGACATTCAATCTAGTCCTCAAAGATGACATGGCATCTGCAATTACATTTTGCTTTCTAATCGAGGGTAGATGTAGAATATGGCGACAGTATCAACTAAAAAAGCAACTCAATAAGGCCGTTGAATTCCCTTTTGGCTAACGTGGTAGAGCCACACCACGCAGAGAAAGTATAGACAGACAAACATGACAACCTTGTTGATTTAGTGTTTTTAAACGCGACTGCTGATCATGAGGTCCTGGGTTCGAATCCCTGGTCGGGCTAAAAAATCCATTATTAAGGTTTTTTGTCTAGAAATTATTTACAGCTGGCCAGAGTCAGGAAATTGGCGGTGTCTCACCCCCGTGCTTCGGAAAGCACGTAAAGCGGTTGGTTCTGCGCTTGATTTCTCTAGGGTCGTATCGGTTTACCAGGTCCAGGTTTAATAGGTCTATGAGAGTGAGGGAATAGAGAGTATACCTGTGCTTGCGCATACACTTGGACACTATAATCCTGTCCTGTGCCGATAGCTAGTCTACCTTGAAGCTGGCTGCTGTGTCCGTAAATTCACTCTGGAGGACATTATTAGACATACAAAAGAAATGTACCTGAGGATAGGTGCCGCGATATACGCCGTCGCTTCCTGCTGGGACTGTCCCCCGCCTTATTGGACAACTCGCCGTCCGACGAGCCCGCGCTCACTAGCGACTCGACGCCACCTTCTAGCGGATTCGTGTCCTGTAATTAGATCTAAATTACTTCTTTCAATATTTATAGTATTGTTAATTTATATGGGTAGCGTGGGGGTATAGGGTAAGGCGACTCCGTAAGTTATTTATTAGGAACTAATAACTAGGCGCCATCATGTAGCGCAGGGGTGGCGAACCTTTATGTATCAACGTGCCATTTTTCTAAAGCAATGTTTAATTTGGTAAAAGACTTGCAGTAAAATAACTTCGTGATTATTGGGAAAATAATAGTACTAAATACTAAAGAAAATTCGGCCAATCACTATGGAATAGACGGATAAAAAAGTCACCTGTAGGATCGCCTGTAGGCAAATAGGAGGTGCCCAGAATAAAAATGATTTTCAACATTTTAATACCACAATACTATGCTAAATTAAAGATTTGTAGCACATACGGTTTCTAAAAAAAAACCGCGCACGGACGGATGGATATGGCGAAACTGTAAGGGTTCCTTGGTGTTTAACCACGAAACCCTAAAACCTGAGCTTTATTGGTTTTTAGATAATTGGACTAACTATCCCAAAGACCAATCTATCTGTAGGTTTTTTAAACTAGTCTAACCCGAAGGCTTGGTTACTATTCCAACTGGCTGGTGAAGCAGCCAAAGATGTTAAAAGCGCTCTTACTTAGCTTAACAAAAGCCAATTCACTCTTGCCTTGTAGACATCCACAATGTAATCTGATGAAATGACATGTACTACTTATTTCACTCCTTTGCTGTACGCGTGACGAACGATGAAGCTATCCTTTTTTTGTTGTTATGTGTACGAAGTCGCGGATAAAAATTAGTAAATTAATTAATTAATTAATAATTAATAAGGTTTTAAAGCGATCCTTACCATGTGGTGATGGTGTGGTGTGTGGTGCAGATGTGGTGGTTCTGCGGAGGGTCCGGCTCCGGGACTCACCCTCATTTCTGAAACGATAAACAGTATTTTATAATTTTCATAACTTTCTAGTCATTTAGAAGGATAACAAATGGGCACCAAGTCCACATGATGGTAAGCTAAGTCTGTGGCCCGCAGTAATCGTACCATGATTAACGGACTCGAGACTACAGGCCATTTTTTTTCATAGAATTTAGGTGACAAACGAGCAGACAGTCCAGTCCACCTGATAGTAAGTAAATAGCATGGCCAGGCTCAAACTAGGAGCTAGCCTCATCCTCATTGCACACAGTCCACCTGATGGTAAGTGGATGCTGTGATTCCCCAGCAACCCAGCGGGACAATTTTATTTTTATGTAACAGTTTACAATCATATTGTTCGTTTTAACGACAATCACAAAATAAATTAGAAATAGCTTCATCACCCTTCCCAGGAGTTATTATCATCCATAAATACTTAATAACTTTAAATTTTATTCGAACTTAGTTTAATAAAGTTTTTGAACTTTGTGTAGGTCAAATTTTGTTCTGTTTGTTCCTTTGATTTGACAATGCGTTACGCGGTGCCTTTGTGAGACGTAGAGAGGCGCTGATTGGTAGTGCGGAGAGGAGTTTGAGGCGACAGCCATCTTGTTGTATTTTATACTGTTTGACGAACGCTGCGTATTTTTTAAATATTAAAATATGTCGAAATGAAGACAAAAAGTGTTTGTCTGGAGAAGTTGATTATTTTATAAGTTGTATACTTAAGAGAGCCGGTATACTCGTAATTACAAGCTAAGAGGCATTCCGTCTTAGTCTGTAGGTATGACAATGCATCTGTACACTGTTTTGTTTGAAGTTGGAATACCAGCGCTGTTTCGTATGGTGAGTGTAGAGAACCGGAGACCCTTTTTTATTGGAAACTAGGCGTTCCATCTTAGTCCTCAGGGGTGACAACGCATCTGCGTTTTGATTCTTAATCAAGGATAAATGTAGATGTCTATGGGGCACAGCATCCACTTACCATCAGGTGGACTGTGTGCTCGTTTGTCACCCTTATTCTATAAAAAAAAACGTGTCCATCAATTGCAGTAGCCACTTACCATGAGGTGTACTATAAGTTCGTTTACCACATGAGATTTATTTAAAAAAAAACATGGGTCGTTACTCTTTAACGGCGGGGATTTCCGACGTTAAAAGGCTTTTAAGCATTCCCTTCTCCGCTGCATGCATATGTACAAAAAGTTATTTATTCGATATAATTATCCTTATTATTCCGAAATAAAAGAGCTAAATAAAAAAGTGTAGTCGATTAATAATCTAATTATAAAACATGCCCTTTAATATATCGAAAAATCACGGTAATAGCCCAAAAAAAAAATGAGAAGTCTTAAGTTTTTCCGACGATTAAATTATAATTTTTTGTCTCAATTTATATAAAGTATTTTCAAATTTAAATTTAAATTCGAAAAAAGAATTTAATTGAGTATCGCATGCATGTAAATATTTTTTCCGAACATATTCCAGAGATATATCAAGAAGTATGAATTCTCGAACGTCAAAATCGTGTCCTTAAATGCGATATTTTGTCAAAACCAGCCTTAAGTAAGGATTTAGTATACATTGATTAAAATTATCTTCCTCCACCTTCCTACAGAAATTATTAACTTTTTTTTAATATTTTTTATAGAATAATTGTAACAAACATGCACACAGTCCACCTGACGGTAAGTGGATGCTGTGGTCCATAGACATCTATATCTATCCTCGATTAAGAATTAAAATGCAGATGCGTTGTCACCCTTAAAGACTAAGATGGAGTAGATCGTTTCCAGTACAATGGGTCTTCGGTTCTCTACATAGAACAAGTTACTATATATAAGTTCCCACTTGTATAGATTTTGCAATAGGTCAGGTATTTGAAATTCCATACAACATGTCTCTACACGAGTTCTATTCTAGTGTATTTAAATGTGTAAGTTTGTGTGTTTAGTGAACTCTAACATCTCGAAATCTCGAAAAACACTCATGATATTATCTAGAAACCAACTTCATTGACCCTCAATTGCATAATGAATACTTGATAAAGTTTTTATTTAAAATCGATTTTGCCGGTTATTTATTCGATATTACATTTCGGATAGGTATCAACAGCTCATTAGATGACTAATATAAAAAAGTATGTTTTATACGTAATAGAGCCACGCAAAAAAAACAATTAATGAGTTTTCTCTCTCAATAATTGTTTTTTTGGCAGCTACTTAGCTGCCCGGAGTCAGGAAGTTGGCATTGTCTCACCCCCGTGCCTCGGAAAGCACGTAAAGCCGTTGGTCTTGCGCCTGATCTCTCTCCGCTCGTGTCGGTTTACCGTTCCATCGTACTATGAGAGTGAGGGAATAGAGAGTGCACCTGTGCTTGCGCATACACTTGGGCACTATAATCCTGTCCTGCGCCGATGGCTATGGTAAGCGGATGCTGTGGCCCATAGACATCTATCCTCGATTACGCATCAAAATGCAGATGCGTTGTCACCCGAAAGGACTAAGATCGAATGCCTCGTTTCCAGTAAAAAGCGTCTTCGATTCTCTACACTCACCGTACGAAATACTACAGAATTAAGCTACTATTTTACACTGGTACTTTGTGAGAGCGTGGTCCTTCCCCGGTCGAGACCACTTTTACTGGCAACGAGGGGATTCCATCTTAGCTCTCAAGGGTGACAACGCATTATGCATTTTGATTCTTAACTATGGTTAAATGTAGATGTCTATGGGTCGCAGCACTAACATAAGGTGGCCTGTGTGCTCGTTTGTCACCCTTACTCTATAAAAAAGGCAGTCACAAAACCCACACACCTATTTATAACGTTACGTAAATATTGCCCTTACCGTTACACGTGTATAAAATCGTAAATCTTGCGAACCGAATGCCTCGTTGGTCTAGTAGTTGTAGTAGTGCGACTACTGATCATAAGGTCCTGGGTTCGAATCCCGGGTCGGGCCAAAAAATTAATTATTGAGTTTTTCCGTCAAGAAGTTCTCAGTAGTTGCCCGGAGTCAGGAAGTTGGCGGTGTCTCACCCCCGTGCCTCGGAAAGCACGTAAAGCCGTTATCCTGCGCCTGATCTCTCTCCGGTCGTGTCGGTTTACCGTCCCATCGGATTAAGAGATTGAGGGAACAGAGAGTGCACCTGTGCTTGCGCATACTCTTGAGCACTATAATCCTGTTCTGCGCCGATGGCTAGCCTCCGTTGAGGCTGGCCGCCGTGGCCAGAAATCGGTCTGGAGGACATAAATCTTGCGAAATACTTCTTGTGTGGGTACATCCTTATATATAAAAATCAATTTCTATCTATCGGTCTCGCTAAAGCTCGAAACTGGCTCGACCGATTCTGATATCTATCTATGAGGAGGGCCTATATTCAGGACTGAATTTTAATAGGTTGTGATGATGATGATCGTACTAAAGTGAAAGCGCGTTGTACGACCTGTAAAATCCGTTTAATATTCTTATTCACTAATGATCGCCCAGTGGCCGCAATTCGATCGTAAATCATAAACAGTTTTAAGTTTGTTTATTAAACAAGCTGTATTAAACTTTTCACTACAAATTAATATATAAAACAGATACATTATATAAAATGAACGCTTTTTGCCTTGAGATCCACTCCACAAACAAAAAGGAAATTTTTAAATCGTACAACATTCCAAGCTGATTCAATTAATCTGTCAGTAATTAATAAATACTAATTATTCGTCGGCAATTTGTATTTTAAATTTCTTTGGCGACAAGCTCTGCGCGACTGTTCGCCCACAGACTATTATGTATTTGACATCGGCGGCGTGAACGAAAACAATTACTGTTTTATTTTATTTTATTTACTTAATGTACTTGTAATGGCGGTGGTACACGCTCGTCTCGTCGCCTCGCGTGCCTCTCGTCGCGTAAAGGCTTGACACGAGAACACACCGTGTACACACTAAAGTTGTTCAAAACTATAAATCTGAACTACAAATTTCCAGCGCGCTATTAAATACGCTACGTTATAGCGCGCTATTTATAAGAAAGCGTGTAGGCCGGTAAGCGCGTTAAGATTTACAGCACGTTATATTTCTTAGCAACCACGTCGTTTATTCAGATAATACCCGGATGACCGAGCTTAGCTCGGTTTTTTTAAGTTACATTTATATACAAATTACATGAATAATAGTTTTTGATCTTATTGACATAATAGAAAAAACTGAACTGGTTATTTGAATAAAAAATCATGAGTGCAATTAGATTAATTAAAATTTTCGTATTTTTAAAAAATAGTAAAAAAAGGGCTCGAAATAATAGATTTTCTCACAAAAGAAGGGAACTTGAAAAAAAAAAGGAAAAAAGTGGGACTCAAGACGGGACGCGAACCACGGAACTCCGATATCACGCCCGAACAACATCCCATCTGAGCTATTACGATCGTTAGTAACCTTTCAAAATTTACCTCCTTATATTGTAGCAATTTTTTTATTGCCTGAAAACACGGACAAAGGGACATTTTCTAAAAATAAATCCTAGCTAGATCGATTTATTGCCCCCCGAAACTCTCTGGACACTAAATTTTATGAAAATCGTTGGAGCCGTTTCCGAGATTCCGATTATACATATATATATATATATATATATATATATATATAATATATATATATATATATATATATATATATATATATATATATACAAAAATCGCTCGTTTAAAGGTATAAGATTCTGATAATAGCACAAATAGGTCGGCTCGAAGGACCACGCTTTCACAGAATACCAGCGTAAAATAGCACATTAATGCAGCTTGAGACTAGTAATAATGAGCGCACTATAATCCTGTCCTGCGCCGATGGCTAGCCTCTATTGAGGATTATAGTGCCCAACTGTAAGCGCAAGCGCAGGTGCACTCTCCATTCTCTCACTCTCATAGTCCTATGGGACCATAGAATATAACACATACATAATAGAACGGGGGAGTGAGCGGAGCCCGTGTAGCCACTATAATGTCAATTCACACGTATAAA